CCTCTGGTCTGCTGTCGGGAGTCTGTATAATATTCGTTATTTCAGTCCGTGTATGCTTAATTTCTAGTTGGTTCCCCAATATAAGATCGAGGGTCTCATTAGTTTTCTTGTAGATCTCATTAAGTTTATCGGCGGCTTCTAAACAGTTCTTGAGAGACCTTAAAAGTGTGGTTCTGAACTCTATATCTTCCATTGACAATTTTGTCCTGTTTCTTTGTCTCCGCATTTTGTTATGCTTCCTTGGTGCACCCCCTAGTGGTCTTTGTTCGAGGTCTTATAGTTAAATCTTGATTGTTGTAGCTAATTCCAGGGAGGGTTTGACCTCCAGGCCAAGTGGCTGTGAGAATCAGCTGTGTCTGCAGTGAGAGAACTTCTGTCCTCTAGGGAGGTGCTAATCTAGCCTTTGCCTGAGGCTATCTGGCAAATGCCTCTGTGCAGGGCTTGGGCGGGGCGGGTCGAACAGGATCAACAGGGTGGGCCGGAGAGAGCAGTTATGGCGGCTCTCAGTCCTGTCCCCAGGGGCTCTGCCTCTCTGAGTCCCAGCACCCGCTGCAAAGCTCGGAGAGAAAGCTGCACTCGCTCTGACCGAAGGCAGACAGTCCCGCTTCTCCCGTTTGAGTCTGGGTCCCTAAAGACTCGCCTGGATCTGGAGCTCAGATTCTGCGACTCCCTCCCGATTGAAAACTCCAACCGCGCCCTCCGCCACCAGCCCGCTCGGCGCACTCCGCACCTCAGAGTTTGACTTCAGCACTGCGCCTCCTCTGAGTGTCCGTATGCGTTTCTCTTTCCTCCTAGTTGTAGGACTTCCACTCAGCCAGCGTTCCTGTGGTTCTGGGTGATGTCCCTTCCGTTTTTTGGTTTCACTTTTGAAGTAGTTGTTCAAAGCAGCAAACTCCGGCGTTAACCTATGCCGCCATCTTGGTTCTCGATCTAAAGTTCGAAGAGAAGTTTTTAATAAATTGAGACATACCATATTCCTGGGTTGGGGTATTAAATATTTAGACATGTCAGCTCTTCCCAAATGAGTCTAGTCTTAGTCACAATTCCATATCTGAAAGAGATTATGTGTGAAATAAAAATATTTTTAAAAGAACAATTATGAGGGAGGACTTGCCCTCCGAAATACCACATCACTCTATGAAGCTGTAATAATTAAAATAGTATGGTACCAGTGAAGGAATAGATGGGTATATGAGTGTGTGAGCACTTCCCTGGCTGCAGTTTTTGTTTTTGTTTTAAATTTATTTTTATTGATTTTTTACAGAGAAGAAGGGAGAGGGATAGAGAGTCAGAAACATCAATGAGAGAGAAACATCGATCAGCTGCCTCCTGCATGCCCCCCACTGGGGATGTGCCCGCAACCAAGGTACATGCCCTTGACTGGAATTGAACCTGGGACCCTTCAGTCTGCAGGCCGACGCTCTATCCACTGGCCAAACCGGTCAGGGCATGGCTGCAGTTCTTTTTTTTTTTTTTTTATTGGGCTGCAGTTTTTAATTGTGGGATTTAATTATCTGAACAACGAACTCAAATAATCTTGCATTTGAATTGTGTATTAATTCCCCCTCTTTGAGATTCACTTTTACAGGTTAAACATTCTGAAAAATAAATGGTTTAGCCTTGTTCAATGGTTACAGAAACAAATTTATTCAAATAGGAAAGGGAATTTCTCCTTATTCCCTAAATCCTACTTTAGGGAGCCCTGGAAGGGAGGCCCAAGCTGGCACGTGACTCATGGAGAGTCATATGAGATATAGCTGCTAGCAACGATGTATTGGGAGAATGGAGCAGAGCAGGGAAAGAACAGAAGAAAGAAAAGGCCCTAGCTGGTTTTGCTCAGTGGTTAGAGCATCAGTCTTCGAACTGAAGGTTCCCAGGTTCAATTCTGGTCAAGGGCACTTACCTGCGTTGCAGGTTCCATCCCCTCCCCACACTGGGCATGTGTGGGAGGCAACCAATTGCTGTGTCTCTCTCACACCAGTTTTTCTCTCTCTCCTTCTTCTCTGCCTCCCTTCCACTCTCTCTAAACGTCAATGGAAAAAATATACTCAGGTGAGGATTAAAATAGTAATAATAATAATAATTTTAAAAATGGGCTGGATCAGAAAGGAATATGATAAAACCTTTTGTGTGGGGATGGATGTGATTGTATGGCTAACTATAGCAGGAGCTGTATTTTTAATTCACAGTCAAAGGCCTGCATGCCCCATACATGTTTTAAGGAACGCAGAGTACCTGTGGGCAAGTGAGATGTATAACAGCAGCAGGTGCCTTTAAACATGGACACCAGATGCTTCATTGCTCCCTGGAAGTTCAGGTACAATGCTACCCAAATGGCTTGTTCCAAAAATAAAAAATGGGTGGTTCCAGGGACAGTGCCTCTAACACTGTGGTCCAGCCATTTCAACCTAAGACTCATATCAGTTGCTATAATTATCACCTTAAAACAGGACATGCATTTCTTGCTATATATAGATAGAAGCGACATGTATTTGGATGTTAGTGTTATTATTGTACCTTCCTCAGAACAACAGTCTTATTCAATAGTCTTTCACTGCTTGGTCACACCCCTCCCTGACACTCCCCCTCACCAGAGGGTCCCAAAGAAATCAGAGGCAGTGTTAAAAAATCTGATATACCGTGTTTGCACTTGGAGAAAACCAGCAGGAAAAGCCAACTTCCAAAATAGGCAAATGTGGAAGTGCTTATTAGCATTATGAACAGATATTCTTTTAAACATTTGAATTACTCAAAGCATGCTTTATTGTGTATTTATACTAGTAGATGATTAACTACTTGAGGGATAGACTTCATAAAAATAGTGGGTACCATGTTCATTGGATTACTGTTATTTTCATTATTATGGTTATTATCATTCTTAGTATCACTTCCAATTTACAGATGAATAAATTGAGACAGAAAATTTAAATAACAAATCTAACATGACAGAGATAGTAGGTGGTAAAACAAAGCTTGTTCATAGGGCTATGTCATCAGTAACATATTTTCATTTATTTACCACACAGCCTTTCCTTTTTGTCTTATTTTAAGCATTATTTTATAAATTTTTAAAAATTGATTTCAGAGAGGAATGGAGAGGGAGAGAGGAATAGACACATCAATGATGAAAGAGAATCACTAATCGGCTGCCTCCTGCGCACCCCCTACTGGGGATAGAGCCCGCAACCCGGGCATGTGCCCTTGATCAGAATTGGACCTGGGACCCTTCAGTCCACAGGCTGATGCTTTATTCACTGAGCCAAACCAGCTAGGGCAGTGTTGGCGAACCTATGACACGCGTGTCAGAGGTGACACGCGAACTCATTTTTTTGGTTGATTTTTCTTTATTAAATGGCATTTAAATATATAAAATAAATATCAAAAATATACATCTTTGTTTTACTATGGTTGCAAATATCAAAAAATTTCTATATGTGACATGGCACCAGAGTTAAGTTAGGGTTTTTCAAAATGCTGACACGCCAAGCTCAAAAGGTTTGCCATCACTGAGCTAGGGCAACCATTATTTTAAATATTTTATGATATAAGGATATATATAATAACTGTTCTGTAAATGGATAAAACAGGCACAAGTTGATTGGTCTAAGAGCAGAAATGTTCCTGAAATGTGCTGAACCACATTTTAAAATGTTGAGTATACATTTTCTCATAACTTGCATTATACTCTAATTCTTTATATGAATTTTTAATATTGTAAGCCTTTTAAAGTATTGTAAAAAACCAAAGAACTTCACAATGCTGGGTGCTTTTAGAAGAGCTCTTTATTGAAAACTCCCAAATTAGATTAGTAATTATAAAATAATTATAACCTTCAACCTTGACTTTTTCAAGACATGGTCAATAGCAGCATAAATACAAAATATTTCTTGAGGTTTGCTCCAACAAATACAACCTCTTCTATCGCAAAGAAGAGTTAGGTCCTCTGATTAAGGGTTTCCCACATTTTGAAATAAAACTGCTAAGCTCATGATAATGCATGTGTTTATTCATTAACACCAAGTAAAGGAATGGGTCAGAGAGATAAGAAGGAAAACAAAAGCATACAATGCTCCTCTAAGCCTAGGGAGTGAAGAGTTTCAGGAAAACGGAAGGAACCAAGGGCAACAAATCCAAAAGAGGGCCTGCAAAATAAGAAACAAGAAGTGGTGATCAACCTAGCCTAGACACTAGGAGGTCACTGAGACCCTTAAGAAGAATTGCTTTAGTGGAGTGGTGGGGACAGAAGCCAGATGGCCCTGTGAATGCTGACTGTGGCCCGAGTTAATCCAAGCATGACCACGTCAAAACAAATCTAAGGCTGGTTATTTTCATTAGAAAATCAGTGAAGACACTAACTTCCTGGGTTTTTAAACAGAAAACAAACAACTCTCCCCAATTTAAATGCTGATTTTCTGCTTGCTTCGGATAGGCTGCTCACTTTCTTTAGAATATACTGTTCTATAATCTGACCTAAAGATTCTTGATCAGATTAGATGCCATTGACTATCATACCCGATCTGTACATCACATTGACAGCTATTAAATGCAAATCAAAGGAAAGACAGTAAATTTGTATGACAGTAAGATCGTACTCAGTGAGATTTCACATGAGTCTGAACGATAAAGAATGAGAAGCAGTGTGAGTTAAAATTGATGAAGAGTGGATTTGGGTCTGCAGGTGCAGCCTCATAGATGTCATGTCTCTAGAACAACTGGCTGAAAAATATGGTTTAATTCTATGCAAGGGGTCCTGCTTTGTTCCTCCTGCAGGAACCCTCATTGCAGCTGGGTTAGCAGATCATTTGTCTCCAGGAGAGTTCTTTGAACCAATCAGGACACAGATAATCTTATTGTACCTTTGCGGGTTTGTGTTTCTTTTGATGAAGCGTCTAGAGAAGTCATGGGTAATACTTTACTGTGTGCCAAGAACCACTTATGTTTCGGTTGTACAAGGTCAGATCTTAATTTAACCACCAACTGGGCACTTAATTTTAGATACACAGAGGGACACATTGGCTCCAAGGCACTTCCTCTGGTTTAGGAAGGCAAGGCCCTGGATAAGAATGACACGACGATCATTCCAGAAGGTGAGATTATGAAATATTCGATCTGTACCTCACCAAATAGCTTATTACATAGTTTAGTATTAAGAATCTTTGAAACAGATGGAAATACATATTACGGTAGTTTCTCATTACTTTCTTTCCAATTGATCACCATCAGTTTGCCTGTCTAGGGCCTTTTTAATTATAGAATAAAGCCAGGGTTGTTTTGTTTGTTTATAGAGTATTAACTCAGTTATATAGTTATTCATCACAATAAACAATAGCATTGTGAGAAAAACAGATCAAGAATAAATATATTTATATACACACTATGGAAGGGTCTTAGCTGGCCCTAGTTTCTAAAAAAAAGTTGAATGATTATTATCAATAATTAAAATAAACTTCTATCTAGGCCTTTTTATCACCTATAGTAAAAGATGGATGCTTTTTATTCAGATCAAAAATTCCCTAAATTCTTTTAAATTAGAAGAAAAGGAAGGCAATAGAATTAAAAATTTGCTTCTGCAAATTAAATAATATAATCTTGTGGTTGGAAAGTCCTTAGAATTTATCTGATACCATCACCCATCTGGCTCTTACATGAACAGATAACTTCTAAAAAAGCATCTATATCTAAAATAAAATTATTTCTTTGCAATAGCAGTGATATGGACACGGAAGTTCTAACACTGCTTTGTGATGAGGACATTATTTCATAAAATATAATTTTAGACTTCTGTTGTTTTTATGGGAATACTTCAAATGAATATTTACCTAATATATTTATATTTCTGCTGGAGTTGTCTGATAGGTTTGCTGGTTGTTTGCTTAAACCCTTTCAAAACTTTTTCTGAGGCTTATGAATATTAAGATTACAAGGCGAGACCCTCTTTTCATTAATTCCATGAGAGTAGCTGAGTCATGTACTGTAGTGGTTAAACCTGTGTTGCTCTAATATCAAATGACTGCATGGTCAGTTACCTAACCACTCTGTGCCTCACTTAGTTTTCTCATCTGTAAAACGAGGGGAAAGTGTGTTGTAGAAATTAAATAACAGTCTATTTAATGTGCTCAGCAAAATGCATGTCACAGGTAAGCGCTCAATAGATATTACTTATAATAATTATCAAATTCAATAACAAATATTTATTAAGCACCTATGGTGAGCTTGACTCTGCAAAAACTTTGGAAAGGAGAGGAGGGAAGAGATTAATGTTGTCTGTGGGTAAGATCTAGAACGCATTATTTAAGGGCAGCAAACTCCCTGAGGGCATGGATCCTTGTGCTAGCACTGTGACTAGAACAGAGCAGACACTGAATACCTGTTTTTGAGTGAGCAGATAGGATGTTCTGAAAATCCTTAGAAAAAAATATAATCACTGAGAGCTGGTGGGTCAACTCTTCTCCTTTGTATTTTTTACTTAGTAGAGAAGGGGGATGTAGATAAGGTGCATCTGCATTTCAACAAGGTATTTGGAAGTATCTCTTGATGTTGGTCTTGTTATTGAAAAGGAAACATTAATACTAGATGTTGGTGTCTTTGGGAGGATTTGTACCTGGATAAACATATTTTCTTGAAGGGTGCTAAACAATAGATCAACCTGAAGGCCTCTGTCCTATGCCAATTTCTGTTAACATTTATCATCATTAATGGGACAGATAGTCATAGAGAAAACATGCAAATCTGCAAATAGAACAATACTTGGAGGAATAGAAAATGCATTAGATCAGTGGTTCTCAACCTGTGAGTCGTGACCCCTTTGGCAGTCGAACGACCCTTTCACAGGGGTCGCCTAAGACCATCCTGCATATCAGATATTTACACTATGATTCATAACAGTAGCAACATTACAGTTATGAAGTAGCAACGAAAATAATTTTATGGTTGGGTCACAACATGAGGAACTGTATTTAAAGGGCCAGAAGGTTGAGAACCACTGCATTAGATCTTAGCAGACGGCAATAAAGGTCAAATCTAAAAAAAGAAAGAAAGAAAATGTAATAGAATGAAATAAATTCTATTATAGAATTGCACTGCTATAATGTGGGGGGAAATATGACTTGTAGGATTTGAATCAAGTATGTAGCATGACAGCCCCCCAATTAATCTGAGCTTGGGCTACATGGACAGATCCATGGTGTCTGGGGAGAAGGAGATGGTCACCCCGCTTAATGCTGTGTTTATTTGACTGTAGCTGCCGTCAGAGCCCATGGCCCAGAGCCTCTTTTAGAAAGTGATGGATATTAAAGAAGTGTGTTTACAGGGAAGCAATCAAGATTGTAGATAGAGGTGAACCTACGTCATAGGAAGGACGCATGTCCAGCCGTGGGAGGAGAAGGCTCCGTGGAGACCTGCCAGCCTTCGTGGGAGATGTGTAAAGGCCCACCTGTGGCAGAGGAACAGCATTGTCTCAGGGTGGCTCTGAGGCATACCCGGGTCATAGAGCAAGGATTTGAGGAGATGGGTTCAACTTCAATGCTCGTCCTCATTGTTAAAGCTTGCCAACGATGAAGGACAGTGTGAGATACAGTAAGCTTCTTGCCACTTTGGTGTTCGAGCTGAGCCTGGGAAATTACTTGATGGGCCTGTGTACGTGGAATTTCCTGGTGGAGCTACCCAATGGTCTTTAACTCTGAAGTGAAGTGGTTTGAGAGGAAAGGGAGGAGCGGGAAATGACGAATGTGTCAGAGTGCCTGTTCGAGGTTGAGGAACAGAGCTAAACCTCCCAACGAGCTTTAAAATGCTACTTTCCCACTCCAGAGGGGTGCAGTTCCAGAATATTAACAGTAATGTTTATTGACTACCTGCAACATGCCAGACACAGCTAATGAGGCAGCTACTCTGGGAGGGCAGGATTTGAACGAAGGTTCAACTACCACACTCACCTGTCTCCAGCAGAAATCAATGGCCTGAACATGAATTCAAAATAAACCTGAAGAAATGCAAAGAAATGCTCATTATTTTTTGACTGAATTTCAAGCAGAAAATGACTTGATTTGAGCACCAGACAGGAACTTCGGTCATGTCAAACAAAATACACCATGCCCAGGAACAAATATTTTTAGAGAGAGCATATATATCTAGATGAATATATGGATGTACATTTTCAAATACATATACATGTATGCGTATGCAACAGTTTTTATGAAGGTCTCGGGATATTGAATTTGTATTGTTATTGTAGCTATTGGATGCAGTCAGAGCACTTTTTACTTTACAACTCAGTTGTGTAAACCAAATGTAGCTGTTTTATTGTCTGTATTGGCCCCACCTGGCTCCAGAGCTGCTACACACTAATTAGTGGAAAACACTTTCGGGGCCATGCAGACAGACACAATAACTTAGATAATGAAAAGGCTTGGATGGCTCAGGTGAATCCGTTGTTCAGATTCCTGCTTTTTCTCAATCCAAGACTCTCCCTCCACCAGGTTTCGCCTGCTTGACTACAAATTTGATCAATTTTCACTCTTCCCAATGTCACCAAGGTGCCCGGCTTGTCCGTAAGTGGCCTATCTCTCCACCCCTGAGGCTCGGCCTGTGAGCCAGATGCCAGGCCAGTTGCTGGAAGGCCCTGTAAGCTCTGGCTCCATAAAGTCAATCAAAGTGGCTGGTCACGTCTGATTAAATGAGCATCGCTCTCACACACCAAGCTTTCTCCCTGGCATTGAATAGTCTTCAAGGATACGAATTTTAATAACTATATAGTTTTCCATTGTTTGGGTATACAATACTGTCTTATACAAATTCTCTCTTGTTGGACGTTTTATATTGTTTCTTTTTAAAAAAATATATTTTTATTGATTTCAGAAAGGAAGGGAGAGGGAGAGAGAGATAGAAACATCAATGATGAGAGAGAATCATTGATCGGCTGCCTCCTGCACGCCCCCCACTGGGGATCAAGCCCTTGACCGGAATTGAACTTGGGACCCTTCAGTCCGCAGGTTGACGCTCTATCCACCGAGCAAAACCAGCTAGGGATTATATTGTTTCTAATGTGTTGTCAGTTTAAATATGGCTGGGATGAACATTTTCACATACACATTTTTTTCCGTATCTCTGATTATTTTTATAAGATTCCTAGATTAAAAAGCACAGACAAAGCATTGGGCTTTTTAAAAATCACATTATCATCCTAGAAGTGATAGGGCACATTTATTCATATTTTGTCTCTTCATGGGCCATGCTTACTCTACTCTTTTCTAGTCTACATTTCCATTTCCTAAGAAATCTCATACTTGTGAATCTAAAGCCTCTTTCTGTTCTATGTGTCGTTTTCAAAAGCTAGCATGCATCTTCCAACATCTCTGTCATGGCTGAATTTGACTTGGAAATCAATAGTGGAGACTAAAAATGTCTAAGTTTATAATATGAAACCGCATACAAGTTAAACTAGTATGACAGTGTGTATCACTAGTGTATTTACTTAGAAATTAAGCCTCAGTTAATGCAGTCCCAAAATTAGAAGTGAACTTGGCAAAAAAACATACGTATGACAGAGAAAGAAAACACAAGGTTAATCTATTCTTTTGCTGATTTTCACAGTGGTGTATATTTGATCATCCAATTTTGTTTCCTGGGGGGGGGGGGGGGAGAGAGAAAGAGAGAGGGATTTAGCAGAACAAGAGGTGCTGTTAAAGATGCTGTTTGAACTGCTCTAGTTCTCTCTGTTATCCACAGGATGTCTCTCTGATGGAAAAGGCAAATACCATCAGTCTGTTCTCTGCGCCTATGAGTCTGTTTCCATTTTGTTTGTTGGTTTATTTTGTTCTTTAGACTGATGGGCTGCCAGAGGGGAGGGGGGTTGGGGGGCTGGGTGAAAAAGGTGAAGAGATTAAGAAGTACAGCATAGGGATACAATCAGTAATATTTACTGCAATCGCCATGTATGGTGCCAGGTAGGTACTTGAAATATCGGGGGGGTGGGGGGGGCACTTTGTAACATATGGAATTGTCTAACCACTATGCTGCACACCTGAAAACAACAAAAAAGAATATTGAATGTAAACTGTAATTGAAAAATAAAAATAAAAAACTTCACCTGGAGGAAAAAAGAAAAGACAAGGCAAATACCATGACGAGGGAATGGCTGTAACTCCTGGCTTGTAAATAGTCCCTGGTGCCTGTGGAGCAGGACCTGGGTCTGACAGTGTCGCCTCTCTTTGACATCTCTTGGGGACTAGTGGGCTCTGATGCCAAAGGAAGCCCTTTATTTGACTTGCCGCTTGTGCTGAAAAAAACGAAGGATCTGAAAAAGCTAAGTGTGTAGCCACCAAATAAAAACCAAAGTTATTACAAAATATTTTTTTTATATTGACTTCAATATGTCTTTAACATTATACAAATGGATGGTCAAAATGCAGAAAATGAGAATGCCCATTGTTTGTACATAACTATATTGCCTTAACAAAACCGGAAAATGGAAATGCTCTTTAATTATTGCTGTTCCTCTCGTAGGACAGATCCTGATGAAACTCTCGGGACCTTCAGCAGAAGAACTCCTCACTCAAGGGCCGGAGACGGTTAAGGTAAAGGAAATTCCTCAGGGTGTCAGGGTCTCCCCTTCCACACAGCAGAACCTGCACCCCCTGCAGAACGGCGGGGTTTGGCTGGGGCTGGCCTTTGTAGAAAACTGTGAGCAGAACCAAGTTTTACCGTATTGTTCTTTTCTTCTCCTCTCTTACCACTTCCCGCTGGACTCAGTCTTAGACCCTCTGCCATCATCCCCTCCCACTGAACTATTCCAACAGATTCTGATTCTACCCTGGGGCTATGGGCATTTTAAAAGGGATTCTGGAAGATGGAACAATACACTCTCCTGGAGAGAACCTCTGACTGATGTAACAGAATGACACTGATGTGATAGGTGTCGGGGGCAGTGATACATTACGGATGCAAAGCCCTTCCCTGCAACATGGAAGCAATGGTCCACTCCAGGAACTCTTCTTAAAAAAAAAGAAATAATTACTAATTTCAGAGAGGAAGGGAGAGGGAGAAAGGGATAGAAACATCAGTAATGAGAGAGAATCATTGGTCAGCTTCCTCTTGCATGCCCCCTACTGGGGATTGAGCTCCAACCCAGGCATGTGCCCTTGACCGAAATTGAACCTGGGACCCTTCAGTCCATCCGCAGGCCAACACTCTATCCACTGAGCCAAACCGGCTAGGACCATTCCAGGAACTCTTAAGGCCAGACCTGTTTAGGACTCACAGAAATGATTTCATTTTTGTTTTGCCCAAGACAGAGTGTGAGGATGAATGGGCTAAACGGATTTGGATGTCATTGGAAATAAACAATCCATAGGGAACAAAGTCATATTTGCCCTTGGTCGGTCGTGTTCTGTGGGAGCTCCCAGGCTTCAAGGGAAGCTCTGAGGGGCCTCACAAACTTATCAACAGTTTGCTGTTATCACGGATCACGGATTAGAGGTAGTTTAGAGAGTCCAGGGCAGAGAGGTTACTAGTGCATGTACCCAGGTTGCCTCCTGCATCGTACCTTGCAACATCATCCGACCTCCTGACCACTTGGGTCAAGCACCAGCTGGCATGCTGATCTTATTTTTCAGACTGTAATGTGTAGACTCCAAAACAAAAGTACAGAACGAAGGCAAATCTAGGACACCTCGGACCGTCCGAAGCTCAAAGCCTTATCACATGGACCCGAAGAGAAAGATTTGTGTGTCCTGGAAGCTATTTTTTATTTTTGGAAGTCATTGTCATCAAGACTGGCTGTTAAGAGCGAGATCAGAGTGTTTTGTTTTTAAGGGCAACAGACTGTGTGCGGGTTGTTTTCCTGCAGCTTCGAAAGACCTTCAACATGAAGGTACCAGACTCATACTTTTTAGCTCTGCGACATTGGGTAGGTTTTTTAACCCCTGGAAGCCCAAATTTCCACTTATGCACGATGAATCTATTGTCCTTAAAAGTGGAACTGGAGGATTTAAAGCAAGGCGGTGTGTGCAAAGTGCTATGCACGGTGCTGAAAGCGACATGATCACTCAGTAATTTATGGCTATCATTATAATCACCATTTTTATTATTACCCAAGAGAATCTAAAATGTACACAATCACCCGCTCTCTTTCCCACTATCTAAATCTAAAATTTTACTCAGCCCATCTGTAAAGTAATAACTGTTGACATCTGAATAACACATTTAGCGCCCGAGAATCCTTAATTTAATGGCTCGTTACCTGGCGTACACGAGGCCTCAGAAAACACATGCGTGGAGAGAACACAGTGCTTTCATCAAAGCAAGGCTGAGCAGTGCTTTAAACGAAATGGCTCACTGTCCAACCGGATTGTCCCAGTTATGTTGTACACCAGCTACTTGTGGAGAATAAATAAGTAGTGGGCTTCTTCAGAACAGGATTGGCAAACTATTATTTAGAAAGGGTCAATGAATTTTGCCAGACTGAGTAGTGGGGCACCTGTAAATAGGATGTCAAGAGTATTTGGCCTTTCCTCAGGTACCTGGCTGGTATTTTACTTAAACATTGTTTGCAACCTGGCAGGCGTGGCTCAGTGGTGGAGCATTGACCTATGAACCAGGAGGTCACCGTTCCATTCCTGGTCAGGGCACATGCCCGGATTGCGGGCTCTATCCCCAGTGTGGGGCATGCAGGAGGCAGCTGATCAATGATTCTCTTTCACCATTGATGTTTCTATCTCTCTCTCCCCCTCTCTGTTCCTGTCTGAAATCAATTAAAGTATATATTTTTTAAAAATTGTTTCCAGCCCTCATTTGGGATTGAGTCCAGTCATTTTAATTTTGAGGTACAGATAAATAACTGTCTTCCTGCCCTTCTCATTGTGTCTTTTTTATTTTAATTATCTTTATTGTTGAAACTATTACAGATGTCCCTTTTGCTTTTTTTCCCATTGATACCATACACCCTGCACCCGCCCCTTCCAGGCCTTCACCACACTATTGTCTCTGTCCATGGACTATGCATATATGCATGTAAATTCCCCGCTTAATTTCTCCCCACCCACCCACCCTCACCCCCACCTTCCCTCTGAAATTCATCCGTCTGTTCCATGCTTCTATGTCTCTGGACCTATTTTGTTAATCAGTTTATTTTGTTCGTTAGATTCCACATATGAGTGAGGTCCTGTGGTAGTTATCTTTCCCTGACTGGCTTATTTTGCTTAGCATAATACTCTCCAGGTCCATTCACACAGTTGCAAATGACAAGTTCCTTCCTTTTTACTGCCTTGTAGTCCATTGTCATTGTGTCTTAATGTCTCTACCAGCGGTGGGCAAGCTACGGCCGGCGGGCGGCCCGTTTGAAATGAATAAAACTATTGAAAAAAAAGACCATACCCTTTTATGTAATGATGTTTACTTTGAATTTATATTAGTTCACACAAACACTCCATCCATGCTTTTGTTCCGGCCCTCCGGTCCAGTTTAAGAACCCATTGTGGCCCTCGAGTCAAAACGTTTGCCCACCCCTGCCTAGACCCATTCCAGTGACGCACCCTTGTCTCTCTGACACATCAGGGCACCTGCACACAGATCGTCCCTTCTCCTTAAGCTTTCAGTAAAAGGATGGAGACGGCTTGTGTTAGGTGGGGGTTGTTTTATGTAGTCGTAGTTTCCTCATGGTTTCTACCCTGCTGTCATTAGGGATACAAAGCAGTGGAAAGTCTTAGATAACTTCCTTCTGGTGGTAATTAAAAGGACATTTAAAAAAAAACTTTCCACAGATCAACTCAGTTCTCTAAGGAGTCTGTAGTATCTCATGTCCTGGAAGCCCAAATTTCAAACAGCTTTAGAGTTAAGCCAGTGATTTAAATAGGTGAAAGGCTCTGTATCTCATTACTAATCCCAGAGCCATGCAATCCCCTATCACCACAGTGATGTTAGTGAGAAAGGCAACAGGCAATGCCACAGGTTTAACTTCATCGTCTAATTGTGCTGTCTGAAGGACTCAGTGCTTTCCACTGCTAGTGGGTGAGTCAACACATTTTCTCCGGTGACCACTGCGATAGCAATTTGCTGTGGTTGACTAGGAGTGGAGTAGAGAGAGGAGACATAAAGGAAAAAGAAAGTTTGTTTTTACTCATTGTAAAAACACTAATTGTCCAAGTGAGAATACAAAACACAAATACGTGAGGAACTTGCAAAGCAAGTACACAATGATTGCAAGTCCAGATGTTGGGAAAAAAAATATTATATAAAAGGAGATACACACAGATAAAGAAGGCCAGAGAGGAACTGGAGAATTTCAACAAGGGCTTTTGTACGAAGAACATCTCAAGCCAGGTTTGAGGCAATGAGGGCCATGGGCATGGAACAGCTGGGGGGCTTGTGAGTGCAGAGGAATAACGTATGAAAGCACAAAAGTGCAAAAAATGAAGCCAAGCGCAAAGTGGGCAATCAAATTTGTTTAGCTGGAAGAAAGACTGCATACCTAAGGAAAATAGTCAGTTCTAAGAATAAAGCAGAGCTTAGATTATGTTAGTGTTCATTAATTAATTAATTCATTCATTCATTCAATATGCATTTAGAGTCCATAAATCATGAGCTGATGCTTCTCTAGGCACTGGCGATACAGACTAATTCTCTCGTCTTATTGGATTACATTCTAGGGGGAACAGAGAGACAATGAAGGAGTAAACAATAACAAATAAAATATCGCTTGAACCTATTTGTTGACTAGAATCCCTAGGGCACATGTTAGCCTTTTGAGTAGACTGAGATATCATGGTGTGAGAAAATATGTTCAGTGGAGTGCCCACTCTCACTATTCTCTCCTCTGTTTCCAGCTGATAGTAATGCAGAACAATGAACAATAAAATCATAATGATGTGATTTACTGGTGTGCAGCCTGTGCACAGGTCAGGGTCCTTGACTATCAGCATGAACAGAACTGTCTTTAATGTTTGAGCTTATCTAACCTTGAGCCATGAGACGAGGTAAACAATTCTTGTGTTTGGAAATTGCCCACAGAATACTATTTTGAGTTGTTTGGTTTTTTGTTTTGTTTTGTTTTGTTTTCACGTTGAAACCACACACTATAATATAAATACATTTTGTCCTGAAAAGTATCACTACTCTCAAATAATTTCATATTGATCAATCAGCCTAGCTGGAGGACTATTTGGATTTCTACACTTAGCTACATTTCTAAGATAAAACAACTGACCCAATAGTAATGAGAGACACTCCCTCTTCTAATTTGATATTTGGAAGAAATAAGGCAACGATAAATAAGCTATATTGTTATATCTTCGGAGGAGAGGGACTAGTCAAGAGCAGTGGCTTCTAATGGATAACAGTGCAGGGGGAAGGAATGTCTATTCCACAGAGGGCTGGTCTTTAGTCTGGGGATGGAGTTAAGATGGCTCTTATCTCAATGCTTCACATTTCCTGAAGGCAAGACGAGGGCACTGCATTTGTGATGTTCTGTTCTCTCTACTTTAATTCAACACATATTCATTGAGAATCTTTCCTGTGCCCAGCACATTCTAGAACAGTAGGGGAAGCAGAGATGAGTGAGAGAGAACCCTTCACCTCAAAAAGCATAGAGTCATTAGAAGTTAAACACAAATACAAAACAACTGCAACTCAAGGCAGCCAACTCAAACCACTGCTGGTGTGAGCAAAGGAATTACTAGTAATCAACAAATAAGCAAGTACAGCAGACACAAAATCATGAGTAAAGAATGGGAAAGGTTCACTGTTCTCTATTCCTGCCATTGTCTTACTTCTGGATTAGAGTTTTAAACTTCCAGTGCGCTGTGTCTTGAGGAAACGGATAGGCCAAAATTCTTGTAAGTCAGAAATGTGGGAAAAGTGAATTCTTATAAGCCCAACTGTAGTCATTACTGAAAAGAAAGTCAAAATTAGAAAATACAGATACCCCAAAGACAGGTAATTAAAGGTTCAGCCCTGACCAGTTCGGCTCAGTGGCTAGAGCGTCGGCCTGTGGAATGAGGAGTCCCGGGTTCGATTCCGGTAAGGGGCATGTACCTTGGTTGCGGGCACATCCCCAGTAGGGGGTTTGCGGGAGGCGGCTGATGGATGTTTCTCATGGATGTTTCTGACTCTCTATCCCTCTCCCTTCCTCTCTGTAAAAAATCAATAAAATATATTTTTTAAAAAATAAAAAAATAAAGGTTCAAAAATTAGAATGGGCTTCATATCCAATATGGATTAAAACGTTAACAAATGCATTTGTATTTGTTAAATGGAGAAAGGTAAACGCATTTTAGTTTTTCACTTTGCATCTTTCATGTTAACTTTATATGGTGTCCTGTGCCATTTGCTGATAATAAGAAATTGCTTTTTTCAAAATTATATTTAGTCATGGATAGTAATGAAGACCCCGATGAAGACAATCTTACAAGTTATGATATTCAGCTCAGTATTCAAGAATCCATTGAAGCCAGCAAGACTGAATTTTATCCTGAAAGGTAACAATCAACTTGACCGTCCTCAACAAAATGTCTTTTTTTTTTTTTTTTTTTTACAAAATTTCTTTATGACAATCATTCGGTTGTAAGATGAAATAAATGCTGTTTCCTGACTCTTCCTCCAGGAAAGTGCTCCAACAGCTTTACAAGGGCCACTGTGATAGGCTCATCGGTCTGACCTTCCACAAATCCCCACTCAGGCAGAAGATGGAAATAACCTGGAGGGGAAATTTCTAGTTGAATTCGGTTGTGCATGATTGCCTATTTTCTAAATTAATGGAATGGAAAGGACAATAAATTTAAACAAATTTGCAAGTACAGTTCATACAACTAATGTATAGATAGGTATACAGAGGTCTGTTCTGTATATTTTAGAGCCCATTCTGCTACTGACTCAGGCAACCTTTACTAGTATAAGTAATGTATTCTATATTTGCATCTTTAAAATATGAAGAGTAATGCTAGCCCACCTAGCTCATATGTTCAATGAATGGGGAAAGGGTTGAGGGCTTCTATAATATATGGAGAAGTAATATATAAACCAGAGCCTATTTCGTTATCTACTTTTCAAGTGACCGGAGTTAACAAATTATACACAAAATTGGTGTTTTATGTTAGCAGGGGTTATAGAGTCTAAAACTGCAAATATAGATTTCTATCTTGAACAACACACATTATTTTTCTGACTAAGCCAAACTTTACTTTTACATTCTATTATAATAATATTCTGAAACTTAGTAGTGCTTTGGGATAGACTCAGTGCTATAAATTATTGTTTCTGAGCTTTTAAAAAATGGACATATTACATTTAAATTCCTGGCCTCTTTAATTTTTCTCTATGTCTTCAACAGGTTTTAGAACTTTAGAGTTCTAAAGCATTCACAGCCCTAGGACGGCAGCAAATGTTTCTGCTTGATAATGTTAAATCAATTTGTTATGAAATGCTTTGTTTCCTTTGAATCAATTCACCCCAGAGAAATGCCATGAGGCTTGAAATCATGACCTACTGGGCTGGTAACTGGGCGTTTGCTCTGTAAATGCTCAGCCTGTTTTCACTTGTGGATGAGTTAAGACTAACTCATCATGCGGGGTGGATCATAAGCCCCCAAAGGAGCCATCATTAGTTAGCAATTATTATGTTTAAAGCAGCAAACATTTATTGAGCATAGAATTTTGTACATGGAAAGAAATCTTAGGGACCTTTCTTTTACTCCCAGCACGTTACAGATGAAGAACCACCGCTCAAAAAGGCTCATGGGCCTCCCCAGAGTCACAAAGCACAAAACCCGAGCCCAGTTCTTCTGACTCTGCCTCCAGTTGTTTACTCACTTCGTTGCTTGGCACTCATTTGAGAGACGGTGCTATAATCTTACATTTTATCATCTTCACTAATGGTCCTGCGTCTAGTGTCTCATAAATATATCTGACTCTGAGTCATTGCATTTTTAAGTGGATGAAATCAGTTGTGTGCATTTCCTTAAAATCTTGATTATTAAAATTATCTTCAGAACTCAATATAGATTAAAAGGTTGGTTCCTCAGAATATTTCACTTTTATAATTATGGCTTATGTTTCTTTCTCTGGCAGATTTGTACCACTAAGTGATCAAAACAGAAAACTTGTAGAGGCCATAAAACATGGTAAGTGAGTGCATTGCCTACAGTGGGATGAAGTAGAGATTCCATCTTGCCAGGACAGACTTATCAGCCCATGTGTTTACTTTAGGCCACATTCTTGAGCTCCAGGAGTATGTGAAATATAAATATGCATTAGATGAAGCGGATGAAAAAGGATGGTTTCCCCTGCATGAAGCTGTTGTTCAGCCCATTCAACAAATACTCGAAATTGTCCTGGATGGTAAGAGAACATCAAGCCTCTTTGACCAAACTGAAGCAAGAATGTAGACGTTGGGAGTGTTGTCAATGAATGTAACAAGCAAAAAGAAGAAGCAGAATAAAATATTATTTGAAACTGAGAAAAGGCAATACCCATGTTTTAAACGTAGGGTACAAAAATTAGCACATTTTGTGAGTCTCCGGCTTCACCTTTGCGTCTTTCTAAGAATGTGACACAGTTTGGCTGAAAAATATGGTTAATCACCTAAAAGTGATAGAAGTTTGTATATATCATGAATTAATTAATTTGAATATAAATTTTGAATATAAATCTTTTTTTAACCCTTGACCAAGGATAATATGTTTATTGATTTTATTATTTTTATCTTTATTTTTAAAATATTTTTATTGATTTCAGAGAGGAAGAGAACGGGAGATATAGAAACATCAGTGATGAGAGAGAATCATCAATCGGCTGCCTGCTGCACACCCCTTACTGGGGATCAAGCATGCAACCCAGGCATATGACCTCCTGGTTCATAGGTTGATTCTCAACCACTGAGCCATACAGGCCAGACTGTTTATTGATTGGAGAGAGAGAGGAAGCATTGGAGGGATGAAGAGAGGGAGGGAAGGAGGGAGGGAGGGAAGGAAGAGGAGAGAAGAGAGAGAGAGAGAGAGAGAGAAGAGGTAAGAGAGAAACATTGATTGGTTACCTCCCATATGTGCCCCAACCAGGGATTGAACCCCCAACCTAGGTATGTGCCCTGAAAGGGAATTGAACCTGCTACCTTTTTGGTCTATGAGATTATGCTCCAACCAACTGAGCCACCTGGCCAGGGCTGAATATAAATCTCTTTGCTTTTGGAACTCAGTTTTTAATTTTTCATCTTGAACTATTTCTTCATAATATAAACATTAATAAATATTATGGTAAATTGACCTTGCTCAAATATTAATAATAATTTTCATGTTTTGATACAGTATTTTTCATACCTCAATGTCTAATAAAACACTTTGAGAGTGCTCTATCTTTCAACCTTCAGTGTTGCTCCCTGGTTCTATGTTGTAGAAGATAATGATGTTTCATGATTAACTATCCAGCCAGCTAGCCAGCTAAAGGAAATAGATAGCTAGACCTATAGACAGATATAGAAGATGATGTTAAGCGTAGTATAGCTAACATATTCTGACAGGATACATTCATTCAAATATATGCTCAGTCCCACATTCACAGGCTTCATTTGACAAAAACCAATTTCAGGTGCAATTTAGATAACAATGCTAAGGATTGGGAAATGGATTTATAATTTGTCAGGATGAAAATTTACAACCCATTTAAAGGAAGAGAGCACCTTGAAACATGCATGTTGGTTTTTTAGCTGTCAGTTTGATTCGCAGGTCCATGCTCATCTACTTATACAATCATTTGAGAAACTTTACTCACACCTCCTTTTAGTCTTCACTGCTTCATCAATCGAATTTGTTCAATCTATTATGTATAATATTGTATTATTCTGATCTATGCGATATCCTTTCAATAAAGATGTTTAACTTTATGCAATGCTTTCACATCTCAGCATCCTATAAGACACTCTGGGAGTTCAAGACCGCTGATGGAGAAACGCCGTTGACTTTAGCCGTCAAAGCTGGTCTGGTGGAAAATGTAAGAACTTTACTAGAAAAGGGAGTGTGGCCAAACACCAAAAACGACAAAGGAGAGACGCCTCTTCTCATTGGTAAATGACCTTTTTCCTAGAACTTTTCGTTTGCAATAAATAATAAGTAGTTAATAAGTATTTATTGGAAACCACTATGTATTGGCTAAAATTATGTGACCTCATCTCCTTTCTTTCCCTGGGTTCTCCCGTATCTCCCATCTCACCTGTCCTAAGATTTTGTTTTTCAATCCCACAAAGAGGTCAAATGGGAAAGATCCTTCAGTACCAACTAGCCAGGAGCAATCCAAACCAGTTTTATGAAACAAGAAGTACCAGTTCTAAAGAACATTGGCTAGGGAGGGGCCAGCTGTAAGGAGGGTTGCATGTTTGGTGTATAGCCAGAGGCAAGAGGCAGAAGGGGACTCTGACAAGAGACTCCAGGTCCACATCAGCAATGAAGCCAAACTGGAAGGAAGAGGAGCCAGCAGATTAGGAGTACTCAGAGGCAGCCCTGGGCACCTACACGGAGTTAACCACCACGACACAGCAAAGGAATAATGAAAAACCTAACGGTGTCATTTCTCAGCGTATTCTCAGTCTGTGTATCCTGCTATTTGTAGGCCAGTAGGAATTGGCAGGTCTGTTTGCAGAGGCAGAGAGAGGTGATATTAACTACAAATGACCAGGGGTAACATCACCTTTCTCTTATAGACTGAGGTTGTAGAGTAAGAATTTGGGCTTTGGTATCAGATCTGTAGGCTTATTTTCTCCTAGTTTTATTGAGATATAATTAACATAAAACATTGTATCGGTTTAAGGTATATGACATGATTTTTATATATTACAAAATGATTACCACAATAAGTTTAGTTAACTTACATCACTTCATGTAGTTACAATTTTTTTTTTCTTCTGATGAGAGCTTTTAAGATCTACTTTCTTAGCAACTTTCAAATACACAGAATAGTATTATTATATGGGACTTAGATCTTAGCTCTGAGATTAGAATTATAGGCCTCAGTTTCCTCATGTGTAAAATGAAAATATACCACCTACCATGCAGACTTGTTATAAAAATTAGAGAAAATATAAATATACTAAACCCCTGAAACATGATAGATGCTCAGGGGAGGAGAGCCATTGTGAAATTGTGTGTGTGTGTGTGTGTGTGTGTGTGTGTGTGTGTGTGTGTGTGTCAGGAGGAGACGTGAGATTATTTATCAGCAATCCCAGAGAAAGAGAATAAGGCATCATGAACTCTGGTCATAACTAGCTAACACTACCACAGCTCCTGTTCACAGAAAAATCACTAGAATTTTTAAAAGCAACCTTAAAATATTAACAAAAAACTCAGACAAGTCATAAACATCCCAAAAATATTTACATTCAACATTAATTCAACAGCATCAATGCAAACAACATTTATTGAGACTTTACCTTAAGCCAGGTGGTGCACTGGGCAACATGGATAAAGATGAGTGGAATGATCTTTCTCCTCTCAAAGAGTCTAGTAGAAGAGCTAGACATGATATAAGTAGAAAATTAACGTTACAAATACTATAATAAAGGTGTATATTCAAAGTAAACGAGGGCAATAAGGAAGCACTGAATCTGTGAAACTTTCACAGATATAGTTGCTCTTGAGCTGTGACTTGGTGGAAGTAGAGGGTCACCCACAGACAGCGGAGGGAAATCGGGGCAGGGGTTCTGCTTCGGGACAGAATGGTAAATAAGCGGGGCCACAGCAGCCTGGGGTCACCCTGATCCGAGTCCGTCTTGCTCACTCTTGCCCCATGTCAGAGCTTTCCGCCTTCCTAAATTAGATCTGATTGGCCAAGCTAACATTATAATAGTTAGGGTACAGGCAAAGCTTATGTAACAAAAAACACAGATACCCAAAGCAAACAAACAACAACGACTTAAGAAGAAAGAAGTTCGTTTCTCTCTTAGACATTTCAGAGTGTGTGGCCCTGGGGGGCAGGGTGGCTGTACCACCGTCACACAGAACCTTCAGATGTCACCATTTCCCAGCCCACGGGAAGGAGGAAAGAGGCAGCCTTGGGAAAGCATCTTCCCCTTTAGGAAGGTGACCTGGACATTGATAAAGCATTTCCATTCTTATGCCATGAGTTCAGGTTTTGTCACGTAGCCACACTTAGGTACAAGGCAGGCCTGGTTATGTAGAGTCTACCTGGATAGACTGTGACCGGCTAAAACTTGGGGCTTCTGTTGTTAAAACAAAAGGGGAAACACGAGTATAGAGGAGCCCATAGCTGTCTCTGTATATGTGTTAACCAGCCTTTATGTCACCATAACATGGTGCTTCTCATAAATAAACCAGAGCTGTTATCCTGAGCTGGCACTACAGGCACTAAATAGAATATTCAGCTACGGGTTGCTGCACCACTATTAATGTGATCTACATTGTTTTTGTAAAGGCATATACCATGGAGTATCTGCAATGACATCCATGTATTTGTTGTTGTTTTTATAGTCTTTGATTTCTTCTCTCTCCTCCTCCTCCTCCCTCCTCCTCCTCCTCCTCCTCCTCCTCTTCCTCCTCCCTCCTCCTCCTCCTCCTCCTCCTCCTCCTCCTCCTCCTCCTCCTCCTCCTCCTCCTCCTCCTCCTCCTCCTCCTCCTCCTCCTTCTTCTTCTTCTTCTTCTTCTTCTTCTTCTTCTTCTTCTCATCACACTTTGCAAATATAGAATTAGTCTCTACTTGCTGTTCCTAACTCACTCACTTCATAAAGAGGACATAATTGTCACTCATTTGTTTTCTTTTTGCTTCATGTAAATTGTTAAATGCTTAATGCCCACAACAGAGCATTAAGCATTTCCTTGCATTTCAAAGTTTCATTTGTTGGTTTCTCTACTCTATCAGTATCTGAAGTGTGGGAAAGGAACTTGATCATTGAGTTATCAGTGAAAATAGAGTTAACATTTAGAAATAATATATATTTAAAACCACATGGTAATATCAAAGAGAAGAGTAATGGTAATATCAAAGAGCCTCATGAAGGAAATATTCTGGAGGTGTTCAGTTATGTCCCCATCATCCACATTTCTGGAGGATAAGAATTTTTCTTGGGTTAAATTCTTCAGGACCTTCATTGTGGAAATCACATTGTCTTTTTAGGGTCATAGGAAAATGGATAATTCATGGCACTTTCTCAATTTTCTTCTTGAATCTGTGGGATGCTTTGAAATTTGCTACTCACAGTCCATTAACTCATGAAAGAGAGATAAGAGAAAAAACCGCTGTTCTTTTTCTGTGCAATGTCAATCCCATTATCCTCGTACTTATTTATTAATATCCATAAATGGCCCCCCAAAAGTCACTTTTGGCCCGTCCATCAGCCATCTGGCCTTACTATGATACTTGGATGTATTGCAGTCATGTTACACAGTTACTTGCTGAGTGGTAGATACCTGATTTGTGATGACCTGACACTTAAAGGGTTTTGCACTCAAACTGCCTCTCTGCCCTGTCTCTGAAGTTGGTGTCACCTTTCTCTATTGGATAGCCATGAGATTGTCCTGGCCACTGGGGCCCAAGGTACAGAAGAAGCCAGTTAGTTTTGCTTCGGACATTTCCTTTCTCACAAATCAACATAAGTTCTCTTCACTCCATCGCCTCTTTAGACCTTCCATTGCCTGTCAAGATACCTCGGAAAAATCTGCTCTATTTGTATGTCATATGAGTCAGAAAATAAATCACTGCTGACAAGTGAATTATGTGAGCAAAACACATATACCCACAGAGAAAGTGACAGGAATTTAAATAAACAGAAAAAGTGCCAGCAGACGATAAATGTACAAAAGTGCCTATAAACTATGCAAAATTCTCTAATGGGGATTCTCTAACTCCTGAACTGAAACTGGGTTTTCTTAAAATATTATTACTGAAGATATATATGTGTATTTTTTACTTCATAAATTATTTGTACTTGGTTATGTTACACAAATATAGTGTCTTGTTAATTTTCATTATTCAGCCATTTATTGATGAGGTATGTCTTTGTGGGTTAACTTGGGAGGGGCTCCCCACGATTTGCATTGTTATGTTTATGGGAAAGAAAACATATTCTTTCCAAAAAAGTAAATTACAAGCAAAGTTTTATTTTTAAAAGTATTTTAAGTTGATATGGCCTAGATATGCTGTTGTTCTCGTGAAGAAAGACTACTATCTCTAATCAATATGTTCTCTGAATCAGGCAAAAGGGAAAAAAATGCAATAGGAGCAAGAAGATAAACGAGGACACACCTCTTAGTTGGTTTGACTTATTGATGTTTGCTCTGCAATAACACCAGCTAGGATGAGGTAACTCACTGTAATTAGAGCTGCCAGTGGCAGGTGGGTGATTTCAGAGAAATGCATTTGTCAACAGACTCTAATTTAGACAGTGAGTAGGGCAAAACCTGAAATCTCACTGCAGCGATGGCTTGCCTGCCTCCAAAAGCTTGTCTTCAGTCTTAGTTCAGGCCTTTGGGAGCCCTCTCCCTTGGCTTGGCCTCAGAGCCTTTCTGCATTCTGCCTCCTGGGTGCCCAGGATGTTCTCTGTGGCCCCACATCTTCTCCTGCCTTTCCCAGCAAAGGCCCAGACTCTGAGTTCCTCTTCAAACACAAGACAGGACAGCCTTCTTCCCTAACCTGTAAAGTCCACAAGTGAGGAACATCTGTCTTTTTCTGTTGTCCACAGTGCCTAACACAGTGCCTTTCATATCGCGGCAAGTATTGAATGAATGAATGAATGAATGAATGACTCTGTATTTATCTCCATCCGCAGGGAGCAGCATTCATCCTGCTGTTTCTTAGTAAGATTTCACTTGTTGATAAGAGAAAAGGCATTACATCTTTTAGGAATATTTATATCTAGCCCACCAGTGTGGCTCAGTGATTGAGTGTCGACCTATGAACCAGGTGGTCACAGCTCAATTCCCAGTCAAGGGCACGTGCCTGGGTTGCTGGCTTGATCCCCAGTAGGGGACGTGCAGGAGGCAGCCAATCAATGATTCTCTCTCATCATTGATGTTTCTGTCTCTCTCTCCCTCTCCCTTCCTCTCTGAAATCAATAAAAATATATTTTTTAAAAGTTTCATGATAAACAGTGCACATTGCTAAGATAAGATGCTGTATGTAATCTTTCTAAATTTTAATTTCTTCATTAACAAAATTAAAACAACATCCACTGTTGGGTTGTATAAATTAAATAATGTATGTAAAACTTTTAGCATATTTAGGAGCTCAGTAAATGATAACTATTATTATTAATAATATCATTTCATCACTTTTAGAATCCTGAGACCTTAGGGCTCATGAAACCCTTGAACTGCCTAAGGTCAGAGTCTTAAAGAAACAGCAGTATTATCTTGCTTGCTTGCATTTTGCAATAAAAATTTGTGGGAGTTACTATTATTATTATTTAATCCTCACCCAAGATATTTTGCCATTGATTTTTAGAGAGAGTGGAAGAGAGCGGGAGAGACAGAGAGACATATCGATGTGAGAGAAACACATCAATTGGTTGCCTCTTGCGCTGGCCCCTCCCAGGGCCCCGGCCATGGAGGAGCCTGCAACCTAGATACACGCCCTTGACGGGAGCCAAACCCAGGACCCCTTGGTCCACAGTCCGACACCATATCCACTGAGCCAAACCAGCTAGGGCCTGCAATGGAAATTTGGGTATAAGAACTGAAGTGGGGGTGAAAAATACAATATTCTCTTGATATTAAAATGGATAACGTTAACACCATCTAACATTTATGTTCATATGCCTGCTGTCAATTGTCATTTTAAAAATCTCTTCAAGCGGTGAGAAGGGGCTCCTGTGACATGGTGTCTGCTCTGCTCAAGCACGACACCAGCCTGGACCAGCCCGGTGTCAAGCGCTGGTCGGCCATGCACGAGGCAGCCAAGCAAGGCCGCAAAGACCTCGTAGCTCTGCTGCTGAAGCACGGCGGCAGCGTGCACCTGAGAGACGGCTTCGGAGTCACGCCGCTAGGGGTCGCTGCCGAGTACGGCCACTGCGACGTGTTGGAGCACCTAATCCACAAAGGTACGTGGCAAGCAATTGCACGTCCGGCTTGTCTCCTCTTCTCCATTCCGTGCTCGCTTCTCTTCCTCTTCTGAAAGTAACTGGGCATCTGGCTTTGGTGCCCAGCTCTCGACAGCCTCCCGAGTGGTCCCCTATTCCACAACTCAATTTTTTTTAATCTTTTAAAAAATATATATTTAATAAATAAATAAATTTTTATTGATTTCAGAAAGGAAGGGAGAGGGAGAGAGAAACATCAACGATGAGAGAGAATCATTGGACAGCTGCCTCTTGCACGCCCTCTACTGGGGATCAAGCATGCAACCCAGGCATGTGCCCTTGACCAGGATCAAACCCTACCAGGGGTGGGCAAACTTTTTGACTCGAGGGCCACAATGGGTTCTTAAACTGGACCGGAGGGCCGGAACAAAAGCATGGATGGAGTGTTTGTGTGAACTAATATAAATTCAAAGTAAACATCATTACATAAAAGGGTACGGTCTTTTTTTTTTTTTTTTTTTTTAGTTTTATTCATTTCAAACGGGCCGGATCCGGCCCGCGGGCCGTAGTTTGCCCACGGCTGCGACCCTTCAATCCACAGGCCGAAGCTCTATCCACTGAGCCAAACCAGCAAGTGCTCAACTAAACCGTCTGCACACTTACCTGCAAATCTGCACGCCCAGCTCAGATTGCTCTCTCTAAAAACAGCCCTGTTTTCACATAGATGGCTCCCAGGGTCTCACACTCACCTTCTCCTAAACCAGCGGTTCTCAACCTGTGGGTCGCGACCCCTTTGGCGGTCGAACGACCCCTTCACAGGGGTCGCCTAAGACCATCCTGCATATCAGATATTTACATTACGATTCATAACAGTAGCAACATGACAGTTATGAAGTAGCAACTAAAATAATTTTATGGTTGGGTCACAACATGAGGAACTGTTTTAAAGGGCCAGAAGGTTGAGAACCACTGTAACGGAATTCCTCTTCGTTCACACTTCTGATTTAATGATTTCTGTCTTCCGAGACAAAGTAGATTTATCTTTACTTCTTCCATCACCTTCTTTTCCAAACCCAGTCAGGTGCCGAATGCTGCCGTGTCCCACTCACCTGTTCTCCTTGGCAGTCCCTCTGGTTTGCATCCCGGTCAGGCCCCTCACATCTTCTCTGGACTCTGCAGTCATTTCTTAACTGTTCTCCAGGTTTCCCGTCTCCCCATCAGAGAATATTTGCTGCATGCTGCACTCAGCTCCTCTGCCTGAAGGACAGTGCAATAGTGTAAATCAGCAGAGTCCTCAGTGGCTTCCCACTACCCACAGCGTCATACACAGGCCCCCTCCGCATCATCCCGGATGGTTTCACCAGGTGTAACCCTCACTACTTCCAACGTGCATCCTGCCCTCCAGCCAAATTAGATGGCTGCTCTCCAGCATGCCTCCCATCCCGTGTCTGGGTCAGAGTCAGATATTTGCCTTCATCTGGAATTCTGTCCAACATAATTCAAAATCAACTTCTTGAGACACCTCCTCCCTGAAGCCTTCTCTAATTCTGCCCAACAGATTGTGATGTTTGAAACCTCCAAGTGCTTTATTAAGAATTAAGAAACCAGCTTGGCCAGCGTGGCTCAGTGGTTGAGCGTGGGCTTATGAACCAGGAGGTCACGTTTGATTCCTGGTCAGGGCACATGCCCGGGTTGTGGGCTCAATCCCCAGTGTGGGGGTTACAGGAGGCAGCCGATCAATGATTCTCTCTGATCATTGATCTATCTCTCTCTCCCTCTCTCCCCCTCTGACATCAATAAATATATATTCAAAAAAAGAATTAAGGAACCAAATTCTGAAACTGGTTTCTGCTACCTACTCATTGTCTGCCCCTAGCTTAGTCACTTAAACATCTGGTTCTGACTTTCCTCATCCGTAAATAAAGGCTAGGACCACAGGATCCCCAAGGGTCATCTATGGGGAAACGACTAACATTTTTGAGGCCCTCAAAGTGCAGCCGCATTTAATTGTTAAATAAGTCTTATAACCTAAGCTGTGCACCCTAGTTTACATGAGGAGATGTGGTTCATGCAAAGTAAGTAGCTTGTCCCCAACTACCAGTCAGCCGCAGACCCGTACTTCAAGCACAGACCTTTTCCCCTACATGGAACCTGCTGGTCCTGATGTTGGGTGAATGTTACAGTTTGTGCTCTTTGATGATTTTTTTGTTTCATTTCCCCTCTGAGTTTCTTAAAATAGATTTATTATCTTAGGTTCTTCTGTTGAGTCACACCCAGTGTTTCCACATACAGACAGTTGGTAAACATTTGTTGGTCTTTTCCCAGGAGCATTTGTTATAGAAATGGACTTATTTCTCAGATGTTCTAATGATGCAAAGGTTTTCTAATAAAATAAAACATGCTGCATAATTGTTTATTAAAAATATTGAGAATGTAGATGTTCTTAACTCTATACTTTTAATTTTAAGTCCTAACTAGAAAGGAAAACAATCGTCTAATTTGAAGGAGCCCGTCTTTCCAGTCCACCCAGGTATCACTGTGCCATGTGTTCATACTGCCAGGGGGTGACGTGTTTGCTTTGGCGGACGATGGGGCGTCAGTGTTGTTTGAGGCAGCAGGAGGGGGCAATCCTGACTGCATCTCTCTCCTGCTGGAATATGGAGGAAGCGGAAATGTGCCTAACAGAGCAGGGCACCTTCCTATACACCGAGCCGCCTACGAGGGACATTACCTGTGAGTGATCAATCATAGGATGGTCATTTTTACTTAAAAAAAATACAAAATTGCATATATAATAGGATCATAATTCTCTCTGAGTAATAACCCCCCAAATCCAAAAAGAAATAGGCAAAATGTTCAAAAATTTTTGGTCTTCTAAACATGTCAATTTTCCCCCTTTTTGTATTTTTACTTTTTAACAATTTAAAAAATTTTCAATTACAGTTGACATACAACATGGTATTAGTTTGAGATGTACATCATAGTGCTTAGACAGTTGTATACCTTGTGAAGTACTCACCCCGCCAAGTCTAGTAGCTGTCTGACATCACACATAGTTATTACAATATTATTGACTCTATTCCCTGTGCTCTATTACACCCAATGACTATTTTTATAACTGCCCATTGGTACTTCTTAATCCTCTTACCTTTTTCACCCATCTCCAAGGAGGCACACACCAATACACATCATAATATATTTTTGTACTTTATAAATTTTCCACATTGAATGTATACTACGTACTTTTATAATGAAGAGTTTCTCTTTTAGAGGGAAGTGACACATGAGAATTCTTCACAAGCCATCCAAATATGTCCTCCTGCTTTTTTTTAACTGTGTTCATAAAAGGCTATAGAGTTTCTAAAAATGTTGCCCTTTGAAAAGATTTAAAATTTGTGAAAATGCTATCGGTATTACTCTAATTATTTAGCAACATGAATGGATATTATAGTATAATGTTAAATGTATTATTGAGTAGAAAAGTCTCATTATAAGTATAGAGTTCTTTATTCAAAAAAAAAAAATGGCTGGATAGATTTTTAAATCACAAAAGTGCCACAATTGGCCTATCAATAGAAGTCTATAATCATTATATTAAACTACCTGCAATGAGGGGTTGGTTTTAGGCAATGGAATATATTTAATAAGTTCCAGAACTTTGAAATACTTAGGCTTTGCCACCGTCGGTGGCCACATCAGCTAAGTGGCAATGACTTAATTAACGCAAAGTGACACGCTGTTAAAGTTTACCTGGCTTTGTTCCCAGTGTTCATAAATTCACACATGGTAGCTCTGAGTTAGGCACTGGAGATCAAGTTATCCTTGCTGGTGGCTCTCATACATGTTTAGTTGGTCAGTCGAGTGTGGAATTTACAGCTATCACAAGTTCTTAGAAACATAAGCAGTGGTTAGTTCTCTCAAGTGGACTGCTATAAGGTTGATGAAATAAGAAAGAATCGTCTTATGGCTAATAATTCCATTTTGAGTTATCCTGAAGTAGGCAGGATGTTCATGGCCAATGGTAAAGCGTGGGTAGCTCAGAAAACGGTGAAGGAGGAGTAATGAACGAGAACTCAAGAGGCCTAAAATCTCACCCTTGCTCCACGTCTGTGTGACCTGGGACAAGTCCTTTCCCTTCCTCCAGGCTTCATATTGCGCTTCTGTTAAATGAGGGCGTTGCACTGAGTGATGTTCAAGGCCACTTCCAGCTTTAATTTCCCGTGACTCCATGATTCTAACGGTCAAGCTTATGAAGCATTTCTCTATGGCATCAGAGGGGCTTGCCTTTCTGTTATAGTTTTCATTAAATAGCATTGGCTGCTGGTAACTTGTATTGTTGTTCAGAGAAGAATTGGAAGATGGGGAGGTTTCCTGAGGAGCCAAAATTCTAGGGCCAAACATGTGATCCCCAGGAACATTTAGAACAGGAAGCTAAATAAAAACTAAACTACATCACACTAAACCAAATAGTAGTAAGTCAATGGGCAAAGGTTATATGTCTTTGTATAAGGTTATCTAGCAGAAGTAAAGACAACTAAAACAAACTGCACTCATTTGTCTAATGAGGAAGCTGGTTTAATTAATTTCTCAGTTGTCTTCATGCCCTGTGGATATCTGATTTATTTTTATTTTCAGTGCGCTGAAATATCTTATCCCAGTAACATCCACAAATGCGATCCGGAAAAGTGGGCTCACACCAATTCACTCAGCAGCAGATGGGCAAAATGTCCAGTGCCTGGAACTGCTCATTGAAAATGGTTTTGATGTCAACACTCCGCTCGCTGACCACATTTCTGCGAGCTATGACGATGAGAGGAAGACTGCGCTGTATTTTGCAGTTTCTAATAATGACATCCATTGCACAGAGGTTCTTCTGAATGCAGGTGCGGATCCAAACCTAGATCCCCTCAACTGCCTGCTTGTGGCAGTGAGGGCCAGCAATCATGAGATCGTCCGGCTGCTTCTCTCCCATGGAGCTAATGTCAATTGCTATTTTATGCATGTGAACAACACGCGTTTCCCCAGCGCCATTCAGTATGCCCTAAATGACGAGGCGATGCTGAGGCTGCTGCTGAATAACGGCTACCAAGTGGAGCTGTGCTTTCAGTGCATGCATGGAGACATCTTTGGGAATTCGTTTGTGTGGTCAGACATCGAGGAAGAGGTGCTGCCAGGGTGGACATCGTGTATAATAAAGGATAACCCGGTGAGTTACATCCTTTTGTTCTGCATCTTTTCATTTCATTTTTTAAAAAAATAGATTTTTGTTGATTTCAGAGGGGAAGGGAGAGGGAGAGAGAGATAGAAACATCAATGGTGAGAGAGAATCATTGATCGGCTGCCTCCTGCACACCTCACACTGGGGATCGATCCCGCAACTCAGGCATATGCCCTGACGGGGACTTGAACTGTGACCTCCTGGTTCATAGGTCGATGCTCAACTGCTGAGCCATGCCAGTTGGGCTCATTTCTTGTTACATCTCCAAATCAGCCTAACTTTGGCTCGTTGGGAGATGTAACAAGAAAAGAAAAATCAACTCTAACTTTGATATTTTTCTCACTCTTGAACTTTTATTAGCAATAATATCCACACTAATAAAAGACAAAGATGCTAATTGACCATACCTTCACTATGCTCACCAAACAATCAGAAGAGTATGCAAATTAACCCATTAAATTTGCATACTGCAGGTGACCCAGCGAGGGAGCAAAGCGACGGAGAAGGGAGAGAGCCGAGGCAGCAGAGAAGGGAGGGAGCCGAGGGCGAAGCGGCTAAGGGAGGGAGCGAGGCAGCGGAGAAGAGCAAAGCCCGCCTTGGTGGGCTTTGCTCCCTTCTCTGCTCCGCTCCAGTCTCAGGAAGCCCTGTTCTTGCAGGAATAGGCCCGAGGAAGCCCTATTCTTGCAGGAATCTTCCTGCAACAGGCCTCTAGTGGGGATACAAGAGTAAAACTAGGCACCAAAGAGGGTGTTTATTTTTCTTGAATTGAAACTGAATGTAGAAGAATGGGAAAATGTATTCAGTTAATAACTTATGCTTATTCAGTGGGATATTGGGGCTAAAAGCATGGAAGGAAGAATCCTGGAAAAAAGCATGATTTTTCCATGTTATGCTGGCTACATCACATCAGAGCCAGGCATATAACTCCAGGACCCATTGTTTCACAGAAACAAGTGAACAATTTGTTTTTCTTTCTTGTTCATTACAAGGAGGTGCCTTTTATTTCCTGTAAAAAGACAAAGATAGTAATTTTCATAACAAAATTGAGTGCTTATGTATATGGTATATTAAAAGTACTACTAAGTTAAATTTTATCAATTCTCTCAGTTCTGTGAGTTTATTACAGTTCCTTGGATGAAACACTTGGTAGGCAGCGTTATTCGTGTATTAATAGATTACATGGATTATATCCCTCTGTGTGATAAACTGAAGTCTGCCCTGGAAGTACAGAGAGAATGGCCAGAAATCCGTCAAATACTAGGTAAAAACAAGTTTTGCCTACAAAACTTTTTATGAAAAATGTCTATAGGGGAAATTTCTCAATGTTATCTTTGATACTTTTTTCAGTGCTACTTTATTTTCACTGTTTTTGAAAGTCATCCTTACTATTTCCTCTGATTTAAGGTACTAATATTGTTTTGCTTTTCTTAATACTTTCTAACTCTTTGATTGTATTCTAGGTAATATTATAACTATATTAACATTTTAAATAGAACTCATTTTTAAAAGTTAACTTCTAGACTATCATAAAGTATGTAGACTGTAATCTCCATATGGGCAGGAATCTGTTTTGTTTATTTTTATATTCTCAAGGCTTAGCATAATTCCTAGTAAGTGCTAAATGTCAGTAAATACTGAGTAAATGAATGAATGGTGTGTATTAGAATTATCCTTTTTGATATGCTCTCTCTCTGGTCTTTATTGACACATTCCTACCATCAAATGTTTTTATTATAGACAGGCTACTTTGTGTTCTCGAGATTAAAGTTTAGTTATAAATGTGAATTATATTACAAATGTTTCAATAAAATGGCATTTAAAACTAATTCAAATACATATAGAATCTAGAAAAAATAACAGATTGGAGAGGTTTTCTCTTTCAAAATGTGATTTGGAAAAATGAACTCCCAAAGCTACTTGGACATCAGTTGCATGGAGCCTAAAGAAGCATCATAGAACTTGACGTCACATGCATATAACCTGGCACTCTTAATAAACCCAAATCATCCATGAATGGATTAACAAAACCTCAACAACTAATTCTTTAGGATCAGGCAAATTTTAGGTAGATTATATTTTTCAGTCAATAAGATAAAGCTTAAATGTTGAGCTGATTTACATATCAAATTTGTTAGGTATAAAGTTCTATAAAAAGAAATATGAGTGATAAAGTAGTTTTCATTTAAACATTTAGTTTCAATCAGAGTCTCACACATGAAATGAATTCACCTGAGTTTTTTGTGGGAAGGATGGAGACTTTGGCTAGAAAGATTGATAGTTCAAATGCAGATTTGGAGGTAAGCTTGTATTTTCTCAAGTGACTTCCCCTTGAATGAGTTCTACAATAGAAGAGACTTTGTGGGAACCAAAATTGGAATCTTAGAGAATTGATGAGTAATGCAGTATTGTGAGCCTAGAAATTGACCTCTGGGGATAGATGGACCTAGGATGGCATAAAATTCTGGCCTTATCTAGGAGCAGGATTGTTGAGTTGTATATGTCATTCAGGGCTGATATTTTCATGGAAACAAACAACAATTTGTTGTACCGTTCCTTTTTCATTGAAGAGAGGGGAATTTTTTATTTTCTGAAAAAAGACCAAAATAGCATACTAGCCATGTGATTTTGAGAAAGTTACTTACCCTTTTTATGCCAAGGTTTTCCTACTGCAAAATGGGGCTAGGATAGTAGTTACCTCATAAGGTTGTTGTGGGAATTTAAGGAGATGATGCATGGCCTGGCTGGTATGGATCTGTGTTTGAATGTTGACCTCTGAACCAGGAGGTCACAGTTCGATTCCCAGTCACATGCCCAGGCTGCAGGCTCAATCCCCAGTATGGGGTGTGCAGGAAGCAGCCGATCAATGATTCTTTCTCATCATTCACATTTCTATCTCTCTCTCCCTCTCCCTTCTTCTTTGAAATCAATAAAAATATATTTTAAAAAATAAATAAAGAGATGATGCATGTAAGGTGCTTAGCATACTAAGTAGAACATTAAAACACTTAATAAATTTAGCTATTTTATAAACTACAATATTCGTGTTTTTGTATTATTTTTATTATACATAAGTCTATGTGAAGTATGAAATGCACATGTAAAGTATGTCACGAAATCCTCACAACTTGTAGAGTTGTGTGCTGTCATGCAGATTTTCATCAATAAAAAACTGAGGCTAAGGGGAATTATACAACAGTCTGGACCCTATGAATTCAGGAATCTGGGCTGATAGGCCAGCCTTTCTGAACTGGGCCCACATTGGGATAACAACGAAATCAAGCAGGATGGAGATAAGAGATGTCCACATGAGTGGGGTGCAAGCAAAACCGGGAAACCTCAGAGAGCAGGACACCGGCCGCATTGAGGGCCATTGCAAGAAGGAGACAGAGTAGGAAGCTCTGTTAACCTCAAAGAGCTATCTGGAACCTAGCTTCCTTCCAGAAATTCGGGAAAACTAAATTCCCATAAAAATGAGCAACAGAAAAGTATCACAGTCAAACCTCATATAAATTTATTATAAGAAAAATATAAATAGACATGTCAAATTTTTAAAAAGATTGTCAATTGTCAGTACTATAGTGCAGGGCAAGCATGTCAAACTCGTGGCCCACGGGCCACGTGTGACCCACAATGAATATTTTTGCAGCTCAGCCAATATAACAGTATGTAAGAAATGTTTTAATAAAAATTTCATCACTTAATTTTTACAATATCCTGTTATACATAATTATTAATACCAAACTACAACATTCACTAATGACTGATTACTATAAACATGTTGCATTCATTTCCCTTATGTGCCTTACACACAGGCACACCATTTCTCTCCACTAATAATTTACTAGCAGCGAATATTTTAGCAGCTAATTGCCACGTATTAGTCTTGTACTGGCTTGTTTGGTGTGCACAACAGGAAATATTTTGCTTTCGGAGAACAAGAAAAAAAGGTTTATTTGCGTTACACTTATTAATTTGTGCAGTTATTCAGTGTCTGGTAAGTTAATGTTCAAGAAAAAATATTAATTTTTATTAAATATTCTATTTTATATTAACAATCACTCATTTATTTTAGCCCTTTGTATTCAGCATGTCTCTATTGAAATAAATCTACATTTCTATGAAAATTGAAGCTTTTGTTTTGTTGTGGCCCACATAAACTTAAACCTTGTTTATTTGACCCGTGTTAGCCTTTGAGTTTGACATGCTTGGTGCAGGGTAAATACACTGAGATGAGGAAGTGCTACAAGAAGTGATTCCTGTACAAGTCAGAATAGTAGTTTCTTAGAGGGGAGGAATAAATGAAGCTTGGGGTGGACTTTGGAAGGAATTCTGGGGTGGCTAGCGAAGTTCCTCTATTATAACCTGGGAGGTAAAGATGTTGACCTAATAATCCTATATAATAAAAGGCTAATATGCAAATCGACCAAACAGCGGAACGACCGGTCGTTATGACTCGCATTGACCACCAGGGGCAGACGCTCGACGCAGGAGCTGCCCCCTAGTGATCAGTGCGCTCCCACAAAGGGAGCACTGCTCAGCCAGAGGTCGGGCTCATGGCTGGCGAGCACAGCGGTGGTGGCAGGAGTCTCTACCCCCTCCACAGCAGCACTAAGGATGTCCAACTGACAGCTTAGACCTGCTCCCTAAGCCAGTAGTCGGACATCACCCGAGGGCTCCTGGGCTGCAAGAGGGCACAGGCCGGGCTGAGGGGAACACCCCCCCACCCCACCCACCCAGTGAACGAAAGATTTTGGAGATCATAAGGGCAAAAAAACCTAAAGTTTAGACAAATTAATTTTCCAAAGTTTTAGACATAGACAACAACAAAGCAAGGATTTGAACCCTTCCATGTCTCATTTCAAAACGTAGGCTCCTTCTCCAACACCAATGTGTTTCCTGTCGTAGAATATTTTGCTTCTCATTGGTAATTAATTTTCCATGTGTTTATACTGAAAAAGAATGACTGATTCTTATGACTTTAGAAAGGCAATCCAAATATAAATCAGAGGAATGTTTTTGTTTGTTTCAGTCATATATTATTGCAACCAGAATGTAAGTCAGTTGATTGCTATAAGTATGGATAACCACTGGATGTCAGCATTTCTCCAGGTATACAGAGGCAGTATATTAGGGAAGAAAATTAAATGATAGGAAAAAAAAAAGAGAGATGGGTTTATTCTGCCTATTTTGGTAACAATTATTTTGCCTCAATAGTTTTTGAAAAACATTGCTTTCATTTTTAAAAAAGAAATAATTTGCATGTTTAGCATCTCAAGTGTAATAGAAATGTGATGTCTTTTATTTTTGAATTGAGTGATAGTTCACATTAATGAATGGCTACAAAATATTTCCTTTCCTGTTGCACACACCAAGTACTTTTCTAATACTTTACATGAATTAATTTGTTTGATCTTCAAATGACCCTAAGTGGTAGGTCCCATTCTTACCCACATTTCATAGATGGGAACACTGAGTTCACAGAGGTCAAGTAACTCGCCTAAGGTCACACAGATACTCGGTGGCAGAGCCCCAGCATTTTCATCCAAGCTGACCGAGCCCAGGGCCTACGGCTGAGCCCTTGTGCAATGCTGCCCTTCACTAGCTCACGTTGCCAGGATAATGTGCCAGTGCTGCCATTGGCATCGAGATAAAGCAAGAGTTGAAAACAAAGACTAACTCTGATATTTAACCTTAGCAGATTTTTAAATATAAAATGGTTAGGTGTCAGGCACGGGAACAAACCTAAGAACCATGGACATACGGAATCATTTGCATCAGATATTTCCTAGGTAGTTATTCATCAGAAAGATTGGTAGGAGAGAGAGAAAGTAGAGAAATATGTCTCTGTAACACTCAATTCTAAGGAGTAAGTCGGAGGAGGTGCGAGCAGTTGCTCGCTTAAGTGAAGTCCATTCATTCATTTAACATCCCCGGGTTGAACAGCCGATCTGAGCGAGGCTGTCTTCCTGACCCAGACAGACTGCATGCCGGCCTTCCTGGAGCTTACATCCCAGAGGCATGGTCTGGAAGGCCTAATTAAAGGTGAATTTCCCTTAAAGTCATAGTTGTTAACGTGTGCATACCTATTGGTGTTAGTCTAAAACAGCCTGTATCTTCCAGATCAATCCACTAATACCGGTTTTTATTTTTTTACTTGTTTTCCCCATTCATTTTAGAGAATCCTTGCTCATTAAAGCATTTGTGTCGGTTAAAAATCCGAAGAATTATGGGACTCCAGAGACTCTGCCAGCCTGCCTCCATAGAGAAGCTTCCTCTGCCACCAACCATTCAAAGATACATATTATTTAAAGAGTATGACCTCTACGGACAAGAGCTAAAGCTGCCATAACTTAAAAGTAACATTTTAGAATGTGATTTTAAAAAATATTTCTTGGAATCATTTTACCTCCTTAACTGTGTTTAAATCCATTGACAGTTTTATAACAGGATCCTGTGTTCTTACGAGAGCACCACATTTCACATCTTTAAAGACCTTAACATTGTGATTTTTTAAAATTTTAAGTATAGTTAATATACAACATGATATTGGTTATATTAGTTTCAGATACACAATATAGTGATTTGACATTTTTATACCTTATAATGCGATCATCCTATTAATTCTAGTAATCATCTGTCACTGTGAAAACAACACAATATTATTGCTATATTCCCCTTCCCCTTTTCACCCATACCCCCATCCCTCCCCTCTGACAACCATCCTTTTGGATACATTGTGATTTTTTTTTCATTTAATCTTTATTGCTGAAAGTATTACATAAGTCCTCCTTTTCCCCCATTAAACATTGTGATTTTTTTAAGCAAGATAGTATTTTGTATTTGACTCCCTGTTGATTTTCTGCCCTTGCAACAAGTCTTCAAACTCTCCCTACCAAGCGGCTCCTACAGTATCCATCGGCAAGTCTCTCCTCTGTTTATAAAACAAACAAAAGACCCACTTTTTCAAAGCCACAGCTTCAGCCCTTCCTCCCGTTTCTCTCCTGGCCAAGCTGCATGAACAAGCAAGCGCCTTCCTGCCTGCGGATTCACACACTGTATCTGGCTCCTGCTCCTGCTGCGGCCTTTCTCTGGATCCTTGGCAAGTTCCTGCTGCGAATGGCAATGAGCATTCTTCAGTCCTTTCCGCTGATTCCCGCAGCACCTGACACTGGCTGCCCCTCCTGGAAAAGGTCTTCCCGTGGTTTTCACAAAGCCTCTGCCTTCGCGCCTTGGCTCTCCTCCCCACCCGTGTGTTTCTGGCTTCTTTCTGCGTCGCTCACCGCCTGCCAACCCTTTTGTAATATGTCTTAAGCCCTCTTCCCTTCTGATGCTACAGTCCCTGGGGCATTGCATCCACGTTCACAGTTCCGATGGCTGCCTGTGTGCTGTTGACTACAAAATGCATATCTGAAGTTCACCTTCTCTCGTGTGCTTGAGACCTGTGTAGACCATTGCCCTGATGCACATGAACACAAAGACACCTCAAGTTCAACGTGTCACAAATGAACTCACTACCTTCCTCCGCCAAAAGGCTCCTTCTCCTGTATTGTCTAGCTCAATGGTTAGTGCAAGGACCACTTCCGTCTCCCACGTCAAAAGCCTGGACATCAGCCTTGACCATCCCATCTTCCTTACCCAATGTAACAGATCACCAAATCCTGGTGTGTTTATCTCTTGAAATCATCTTCTTCTCAGTCTTACTGGTTCGGCCCTAATTCCAGCTCTTATGTCCACTGTCTGGGATCCTGTAGAACTGCCTCAAGGGCCTTCCTTCCTGTTGTCTCACCCCATTTAACATGCATTCTACACACAACATCACAGGATGATCTTTCACAAATGCGGTAGAATTTCACTCCCCTGCTTAAAATCATTCCCATTGCTCTTAGGATAAAGTTCAAAGTTCCTCATGATCTAATTTCCTGCCTTCCTCCTCAGCCTTATTTCTCGATGTCTCCCTCACCCCTCCCCTTCAACCATGGTAAACCACTTTTAAAAACGTATTCTTCGAACAGTGATTCCCAGACCTATGTGAAAACTACACATCAGTAGTTTTTGTTTTACTAGTTTTAAAAATGGGGTCATTTATCTAAATTTTCATAGAGGATCTCAGGCAGAGGGAGAAGGAAATGCAAATAGATTTGTATATGATCTACTATCGCTGCCATTTCATAAAAGAGCAGCCATTTTAGTGCCAGAAAATAAGGCAGCCTTAAACTCAATGATTAAAATGGAATGACTTTAGCTTAGGAAAGACTTACCACACTGTCCTCATTTTCCTATTGATGGGTGAAAATTTCATTCTGGCCCAACAAGTATCTTAGGTTCTTTGTTATGGACCATGCTCTCTTACATCTCGGGAGTCTTTGCACTTTCTTTTCCTTCTATCTGGGATCCTCTTTCCATCTCCTTCCTCCTTTTCGATGACCTAAGTTGTCTTAGATCATCGAATTGCCTTAGACTACACGTTGGCAGAAAAAGGAGGTGTATGACACCAACACGGATCCAGTAGAGTTGAGCAGCCCAGACGGAAGCTACCTGGCTTCAGCAGACATTAGACCATCACACCCCGCTCTTTGAGCGAACCGAAGATTGGTTTGCAAGTCTATTTTCATAGATACCACAAGAGCTCAGGTCCATATTTGGAGGAACTTCTTCATTAGGTTTAATCATTCTTTTCCTTATAATGCTTGCCTGTGTTTTGAAGCTCTTTGTGGCTTGTTTTTCCCTGTGCTGGAAAAACTGTATCTGCTGGAAGAAATACATCTGCCTTTAGCTCATGAAATCTTGCTTTACAACGGTCGCAAGTGTTTCCCCTTATCCTACACGTCTCAGCATTGATGTTGCCTCCTCTAGGGTGGGAGGCCCCAGCACAGCAGTTCTCATGCTCTACTATAGGTGCCCGTGTTCTCCTCTGTCTGTCCCAATAGATAAGCTCTGTGAGGGCAGGGTCTATGTCTGCTTTGTCTTCCAGTGTTTTCTTAGGGCTACATACATTCCCTAAGGCACAGAGAGGGTTCAAACATCATTTGTTCAATATGTTGAATGAGTGAATGTTGTACGAGACCCAGACAAAAATAAGCAATGACTTGTGGTAAATGATAGTGTTGACTCTCTGAATTGGGTACATAATATTAATAATGTAATTATTTAAATGTATTTTTCTTAGATTTTAATGTTTTTCTTCAATTTGTTTTTATCTTAAGAGTTACTGTACTCTTTCAATTGTAATGCCTCACTGGTTGTGAATTTTTCAAATTGTATTTAGCTTTAGGTAACTCTGAGATATAAATAGGTATAAAAATTACCTGTACAATTAGAGCTATAGTTGTATTCCCTACAGAATATATTTTTATATAAATTAAACTGCAATGTATTTAATTAGAACTATAATGTTTTATGTATAGAATTTCACGATTCCGATGTTGTTCTCCTACTTGAGGCTAAAATGCACTGTTGCCACTAAATAAATAAAAAATAACCTTAAGCATACAAGTTTGCCATACGTCTTCAGATATTAAATAAATAAACTAAAGCTTTGACATTTCCTTTAATGTATTTTTGCATAAATGCATTCAAAATACTCTAAATATTAAATAAATTCTAGTACACTAAAGCTTTGACATTTTATTTAATGTAGTTTATGTAAATATATTCAAGAACTACATGAATATAAATATATGAATTCACTGCACAGGTTTTTAAAATGGTTTGTTTGTTTTTTTGGTGTCTGTGAAGTAGGAGAAAAATGTATTCTATGAAACAGAAGCAGTCACTGTGCCCCAGATGGATTTGATCTTTTTCTTATCACATCTTGAACTTCCCTAGCAGTGTTTTTTGTTCTTGAGTGGGCTGGGTGGTAAGGAGAATGAATTTCTACCTAATTAGGACTCTGTTTCTCTCAGAATATGTCACTATCTGGGAGAGGGCAACAGCTGCTCATCCCTGTGAGCCTTTGGAGAAGCCGAACATTCTACAGTGGTGCCTGTGTAACCACCGTGAAGTCGACGGGGTAGTGTTTTGAGGACATCCTTCCATGCTGCCATGATGTCACGGCCGTTTTGGTCGCTGTGGGTTCTATTTTGTATTCTACGGAAATCCTGGGAAGAAAGAAGCAGGTTTGACCTCTCAGGTGAGTGTGTTTTGTTTAGTTTTTCAGGAGGTGATCTTTAAATAGTATTTCCATTTCCAACCTAAGATAATTTCGTAAGTCCATTGAAATCAAGTGCCTCCTGAAGAGTATGGTTCACTCGTTTTCATTAGTCACAGTGCATGTTTCCAGGCAATAGGATGACAGTGCAGAAAATGTGAACATGATTGTGCCCAGCAAATATTCATGGGTAGCACTCCCTCTCGATGCCTGCTATTGGAAAATCAATACATTATGGATCAGACAGCGTGGGAACTACAAAAAAGGTGAAGTGTTTTACATCACAGTGAACCACACTTAAGCTTTGTCCTGGCCTTTTACCAGACATCCCTATCCAAATTTTGGTTTCAAGATACATCACTCTTATATATATTGTCACCTTCCAAATCAGAAATCATTTAGGGCATATAAAAACTCTAAACTGCCCTAACTGGTGTGGCTCAGTGGATGGAGCGTCGGCCTAAGGACTGAAAGGCCCCAGGTTCGATTCCGGTCAAGGGCATATACCTGGGTTGGGGGCACATCCCCAGTAGGGTGTGTGCAGGAGGCAGCTGATCAATGTTTCTCTCTCATCGATGTTTCTAACTCTCTATCCCTCTCCCTTCCTCTCTGTAAAAGTCAATAAAATATATAAAAAAAATAAATAAAAATAAAAATAAAAACTCTAAACTACTTCAAGTTATTTAAGAAAATGAAACACTATATGTATATATCCATATTTGTATACATAGTACATATATATGACATCTATATAGCTAAAAGCCTAAGACCGAACAACCAGAATGACTGGAACGACCTGTTGACCAGTCGCTATGATGCACACTGACCACCAGGGGGCAGACGCTCAAGGCAGCAACTGCCCCCTGGTGGTTAGTGCGCTCCCACAGCCAACTTTCTGCAGCCGGCCAACCGCCTGAGGCCCCTATACCCCCCCCCCCCCCCACTGCTGGCTGGCTGGCCCCCATGGGGTCTGTGCGTGACACCCTGATTGGCCTCCAATCACTGGCCAAGCTGAGGGACCCTACCTGTGCACGAATTCGTGGACTGGGCCTCTCGTATATACATATAATATATATATAGATACATGCATCGTAGTATGGCACATTAGCTGTGCAATATAATGCAGTAGGTAAGAACATATACTTTGTAGCCAAACAGACATGAGTTTTAACCAGGCTCTACCAATTATTGTTTTTTAAATATATTTTTTATTGATTTCAGAGAGGAAGGGAGAGGGAGAGAGAGATAAGAACATCAATGATGAGAGAATCATTGAACAGCTGCCTCCTACACACCCCCTACCAGGGACCAAGTCTGCAACCCAGGCATGTGCCCTTGACCAAAATCAAACCTGGGACCCTTCATTCCACAGGTCGATGCTCTATCCACTGAGCCAAACTGGCTAGGGCTCCACCAATTATTAGCTGCTTGAATTTGAACAAGAATGATATAAATGTATAAACACGCTATCTAACACCTGAACTCTCATCATTCTTACATGGTGACAGTGATAGTGCCAGAGTTGCCAAAGTTAAGAACCTTGGCCTTATTGTACAAGGCTG